ATTGACTACGCTTTTCCAATTGTGCCACTATTTTCACTTAAGATGAAGGCTTACAGAACAAAATAGTTTCTCATTTAACAGTTACTACACGTTGCCCTATGACAATGGTTAACAATCTCACAACATATCAACAATATCCTTACTCAACTTTGGGTTCCCTATCACCAGCTTCTTTGTCCCCTTCTGCCTTCTGGCCCTTGTCCCTGGACTCCTGTACCTCATTAGTCCCATTTGGTTTTACGGGGCTGTCCACTCCCAGGCTGAACGGTGATCTAGGTTATCTTTTAACACTGAAGAGCCCTAGTTTTGTGATGAGGGTCTCCTGTTAGGCTCCCCATGTTTTATGAGCCTTAGGTTCTATCTGTGGTCTCTTGATGTGTGCACAACCCAAAGTTCAGGTTGATAGCATTCGCCTATGTTGTTAACTCCCTAGCTTCCTGCTTTCAGATAGTATTTGACTTCTGAGAATTCTTATTTTCTTGTCAGCTAGTCAGTGTATTTTAAAAGAGTTAAAAATATTTTTGTCTTACCCATTATTTGTAATTATTTTCAGCTGAAGTGGGTTGGGTGGATTTTGGTCCAGATATTAATCTGCATTACTGCCTCCTTCACTAGAACGTAAGCTACGAGAATGCATGGACTTTGTTCTTTTAGTCAACTGCTGCATCCCCTTTTCCTAGAACAGTGCTCAGCATGTTTATTACTTGTTGAATGAGTGATTTGCTATACCCTTGTAGTTTTAAGGAATTTATGGTGAAGAAATGGTCAAAGATGTGTGCGGAGATTTTTACATCAAAGATAGTAGTTGTTTATAATGGCCGAAAAAGCGCTGAAGGCTTAAATGTCCAACAATGTGGGAGTGGTTCAATATATTGTGCTACTTGTATATAGTCATTATAAAGAATTTTTAGAAGAATAACTTAATGACATAGAAAGATGTTAATAATATATTTGTTCAGAAAATCTGCAGGTTTTAATATTCATAATGTTTATGTTTGTGTTGGGATTATTAATGAATATTTTATTCAGATGTTTTCTAATTTTTAATGAGAAAATGTGTAGTAGAAATAATCTTTTCCAACACATTCCCCCTTTGTAACTGGTTGACGTTTATTTAAGATTTTTTAAAACTTGATAAACATTTTATTTTGTCTTAAAACCTAGATGCTCACCCATTTTCCAGTATTTTGAAGTACGGGTAGAGCCTTTCTTGGATAAATTGCACACATAATACATAGGCTGTGATTTGCAGGTTTTGTTTATTTAAAGTGGAATAAGAGCTTAAAATATTTATGAAGAAATCTGAGTGCAGAATAATTCTAGATTTTTAATGTTTTCTGTCCTGTCTTTTTCAGTTGTCTTGTCCATACCTGTTTTGAATGCAGTTTTTTTAATGACTTGCCTCCAACTTTTTCTAAAACATTTATATTATTTTTTATAGAAACAATATATTTTTTAGTTTTAAACTCATATCTCATTGATTTATGTAAGTTTTAAATTTTAGTAACAAGTTGGAGGATATGCACAGCTGATTGTTGACAGGGATATGGCTCAGCTGGTTTATGTGAAAGGGTACAGTGTACTGGACAGCCTATAAACAGCCCTGAGTGGTCAGAATGCTGTAGACATCCTTCAGTCTGTTTTACAGACGGCATGGAGAATTAATACATTGAGTTGGTTAAGAGATTGTCTGCTACATTATTTTTGTAAGACTAATTTTTTATTTTTTAAAATTAGGTGACATGTTTTGAATTCTGCCAGATGCATGAACAATGCTAGTCATTACAATTCAGGCTCAGCATATAAGAAGAAATCCTGTTACTTAAAAATTTCTTTCACTTTCTCCCGTTTTCCTTTTCTAGGTGGGGGCTATGTGTATGAACTCAGTGCTGTCCTCATACACAGAGGAGTGAGTGCTTATTCTGGCCATTACATCGCCCATGTGAAAGATCCACAATCCGGTGAATGGTATAAGTTTAATGACGAAGACATAGAAAAGATGGAGGGAAAGAAATTGCAGCTAGGGATTGAGGAAGATCTAGGTAAAACCTTTAAGTTGTGAGTGCCCTTTTAAAATATAACTTTTTTTTTTAAACCGGAAGTATTTGTGATAAATTTTTATGGTCCAAGATTGTTACGGACTCTCAAGGACATTTGCATTTCTCAAGCACACATGATATCTCCGAGCATCTTTTGTTAACAATGCCTGATTAAAACTAAATAAATAAAAAGATTTTACTCAATATGGTTTAGTTTTCAATTACCAGGTTAACTGGGGTAAGGGAGGGTATTAAGCTAAAAATGATGACATGAATAATGGATTTAGTATAGTAGGATTCATAGTCCTTTTCTCTGGGTCAGGAAATTTATTTTTGGGAAATAACTGTAGCATTGAAACTTGCTCTGAGGACAGTGCGTGTTCCTCCCTGTTAAGTATCTCATCCCTGGAGCGTAGAGCGGTACCTCTGTGGGGAGCTTCTTGCTGCTTTGTAGTGATGGTATCTGCCATAGAAAATCCTTTTTTTTTAGATTGTGCTTTAAATGAAAGTTTACAGTTCAAGTTAATTTCGCATACAAAACTTTATACACGCACTGCTATGTGACCCTAGTTGCACTCCCCATACTGTGACAGCACACTCATCCTTTCCACCCCGGATTTCCCGTGTCCATTCAACCAGCTCCTGTCCCTTTCTTCCTTCTCATCTCACCTCCAGACTAGAGCTGCCCGTTTAGACTCATGTACCTACTTGAGCTAAGAAGCACACTCTTTACGAGTATCATTTTATGTCTTATAGTCCAGTCTCATCTTTGCCTGAATAGTTGGCTTCAAGAATGGTTTTAGTTTTGGGCTAACAGAGAGTCTGGGGGACATGTCTTCCAGGGCCCCTCCAGTCTCAGTCAGACCATTAAGTCTGGTCTTTTTACATCAAATTTGAGTTCTGCACCCCACTTTCTCCTGCTCCATCAGGGACTGTCTGTTGTGTTCCCTGTCAGGGCGATCATTGGTGGTAGCTGGGCACGATCTAGTTCTTCTAGTCTTAGGCTAATGGAGTCTCTGGTTTATGTGGCCTTTTCAGTCTCTTGGGCTAATATTTTCCTTGTGTCTTTGGTGTTTCATTCTCCTTTACTCCAGGTGGGTTGGGACCAATTGATGCATCTTAGAAGGCTGCTCACTAGCTTTTAAGACCCCAGCTGCCACTCACCAAAGTGGGATGCAGAGCATTTTCTTAATAAACTTTGTTATGTCAGTTGACCTAGATGTCCCCTGAAACCATAGTCCCAAGACCCCAGCCCCTGCTACTCTGTCCCTCAAAGTGTTTGGTATTCAGGAAACTTCTTAGCTTTTGGTTTAGTCCAGTTGTGCTGACTTCCCCTGTGGTGTGTGTTGTCCTTCCCTTCACCCAAGATAATTCTTGTCTACTATCTAGTTAGTGAATACCCGTCTCCCTCCCTCCCGACCCTTGTTACCATCAAAGAATGTTTTCTTCTGTGTTTAAACCTTTTCTTGAGTTCTTATAATAGTGGTCTCATACAGTGTTTGTCCTTTTGTGACTGACTAATTTCACTCAGCATAATGCCTTCCAGATTCATCCATGTTATGAGATGTTTCACAAATTCATCGTTATTCTTTATCGTTGCATAGTATCCCATTGTGTGGATACACCATAATTTGTTTATCCGTTCATCTGTTGATGGGCACCGAGGTTGTTTCCATGTTTCTGCTATTGTGAATAGTGCTGCAGTGAACATAGGTGTATATATATCTGTTTGTGTCAGGATCTTATTTCTCTAGGGTATATTCCAAGGAGAATGATTGCTTGATCGTATGGTACTTCTATTTCTAGCTTTTTAAGGAAGCGCCAGATTGATTTCCCAAGTGGTTATACCATTTTACATTCCCGCCAACAGTGTATAAGTATTCCAGTTTTTCCACAACCTCTCCAACATTTATTATTTTGTGTTTTTTGGATTAATGCTAGCCTTGTTGGGGTGAGTTGGTATCTCATTGTAGTTTTGATTTGCATTTCTCTGATGGCTAATGATTATGAGCATTTCCTCATGTATCTGTTAGCCACCTGAATGTCTTTGGTGAAGTGCCTGTTCATATTCTTCACCCATTTTTTAATTGGGTTATTTGTCTTTTTGTTGTTGAGGTTTCGCAGTATCTTACAGATTTTAGAGATTAGACCCTGATCAGATTGTCGTAGCCAAAAATTTTTTCCCAGTCTGTAGGTTGTCTTTTGACTCTTTTGGTGAAGTCCTTGATGCGCATAAGTGTTTGATTTTTAGGAGCTCCCAGTTATCTAGTTTCTCTTCTGGTGCTTGTGCATTGTTACTTATGGTTCGTATTGTGTTTATGCCATGTATTAGGGCTCCTAGCATTGTCCCTATTCTTTCTTCCATGATCTTTATCATTTTTTATTTGATATTTTGGTCTTTGATCCATTTTGAGTTAGTTTTTGTGTGTAGTGTGAGGTTTGGGTCTTGTTTCAATTTTTTGCAGTTGGTTATCCAGTTATGCCAGCTCCATTTGTTAAAGAGACTCTCTTTTCCCCAGTTAACGGACTTTGGGCCTTTGTCAAATACCAGCTGCTCATACGTGGATGAATTTATACCGGATTCTAAATTCTGTTCCATTGGTCTATGTATCTGTTGTTATACCAGTACCAGGCTGTTTTGACTACTGTGGTGGTAAAATAGGTTCTAAAATCAGGTAGTGTGAGGCCTCCCACATTGTTTTTCTTCAGTAATGCTTTACTTATCCGAGGCATCTTCGCTTTCCATATGAAGTTGGTGATTTGTTTCTCCATCTGCTTAAAAAATACCATTGTATTGCATTGCATTGTATCTGTAGATTGAGAAAATACTTCTTGAAATAGTATCCTGCTATGTTATCTTGGGCTTAAATATTATTTTATTCTCCAAAGGGATGGATAAACCTTCCAGTAAGAGCCATCTCGGCTAGACTTTTCACCACTCTTACCATGTATGTCATTTTAGGGTGAGATTGGGACTATGGGTCTAAATAGAAGAAAAGGAATGGGAGTGGGTGTGTGTCTCCTACCACTGTTCTTAATGGATCAGAGTCACTTGTCTAAGTTGTATGGGTAATCTCTGTAGATACTCTTGTGGTAGCTATATTCTTGTAATTCAGAGAAATGTTTTCTATTTTAAAATCATATTTCATGTTTATAGACTTTCAGTAATCATGCTGTCACTAATACTCAAGTTCTTAACATTTGCTTGTATTTTTGGCTTACTGGGACATTCTTAACTAGGAGCCAAATTGAGATGTAGCTTTGAATTGTAAATAGTTATGTTTTGGTTTTATTTGACTGTTCTTTACTGTAGCTTATTCAGTCTGTTTTAATTTTAGTCAGAATTGTAGGATTAAAAGCATTGTTAAAGCTGTCCTATCTATTATTTGGGTAGTCCTAAATTTTAAAATAGTTGAGGACAAAGAGATTCCACACCTATTAGTATTCTACTCCATTGTTTTAATACTTCATTGTTATATACAACTTACATTACAGCTTTCATCTGTTGTTTTCTGTTTACCAAAAATAGAGAAGATTGTTTATTCAATTCTATTAGTCTTCCATTACTGTATTCTGTTGTGAACTTTTATGAATCAGTGTTTATGCTTCATCTTTATACAGGGTAATGAACATCTTGAATCTTAATACTTTTCAGTTAGAAATGACTAAATTCCTTTCTGTATACATGTTGCGGATATTTTAATTCTCTGTGACAGTGGTCTTCAAACTTTTTAACTCATGTCTGTGGTAGCTGGGCACCATCTAGTTGTACTGGACACAATCTGGTGGAGGCCATGGTAGTTGTGGTCTGTTAGTCCTTTGGACTAGTCTTTCCCTTGTATCTTTAGTTTTCTTCATTCTCCCTTGCTCCCGAAGGGGTGAGACCAGTGGAGTGTCTTAGATGGCCACTTACAGGCTTTTAAGACCCCAGACACTACTCACCAAAGTAGAATGTAGAACATTTTATTAACTGTTATGCCAGTTGAGCTTCATGTTCCCCAGGACCATGGTCCCCATAGCCCTCAGCCCAGCAGTTTGGTCCCTCAGGGAGTTTGGATGTGTCTATGGAGCTTCCATGACTTTGCCTTGTACAGGTTGTGCTCACTTTCCCAGTATTGTGTACTGTCTTAACCTTCACCAAAGTTACCACTTGTCTATTGACCATTCTAGTTTTTCAGAGAGATGAGAGGTTATGTCTTTCCTTTATAAAGCAAAAGATAGGTGATTGTGAAAGGAGAGGTAGAAGCCATCATGGAATCTCAGCTTCAAATCACATCAATTTAGAAAGTACATAGTGAATTGAGGATCTGGTAATTGATTTCATCAGAAGTGTCCATGACCTTATACATCTTGAAAGCTTACCCTGGGACACTCAGATCCAATTTGAAGATCACTGTCATTTGGTATATTTGCAATCTGAAATGCTTAATAATTTTTGTACTTCCTACTAAATTCAGAGATTAGTAGCTAATTTTTCTGCTCATTAGCATTCTATTCCATTTTTATGCGTGTGGTATTATATTTGAGCAATCATATTAAGTCTGAATTTATTTTTGTAATTTAAAACTGACATTAAATTCAGCTCATAGAACTTTGTTCAAGGTTTGTCCTCATGAAAAATTTCTTTTTGTCTTTTAAAGATGTAATGCGGAGGACAACAGGGGTAGTAGACTTATAAAAATATTTAAACATCTAAAGAGCTTGCTAAATTTGTATGGCCTTTCAGTGTTTTAGATTCATGTTAGAATATCTTGGGTATGTTTTTAGAAGTTGTTTTCTTTGGCATCCTCCTCCCCCTCCCCTGGGAAAGAATGAACAAACTGTAGGCATTCTAATTTAATCATCTTTTGATTTTTCTACCTCAGCAGAACCTTCTAAGTCCCAGACACGTAAACCCAAGTGTGGCAAAGGAACTCACTGCTCTCGAAATGCATACATGTTGGTTTATAGACTGCAAACTCAAGAAAAACCAAGCACAACTGTTCAAGTACCAGGTAAACAATTTTTCAGAATTATATCAGGCAAATATTTTAGAATATGATCAACAACAAGAAACAAATTGCTTTTGTTGATGATGAGAAGTTGATTCATATAGTAAACATTGGTGAATGTAGATATCAATCACAAATTTGCCTTAAATTGTTGAGTTTTTTAAAATAAAGTAGCCTTTGACCAGAACTATTCTACTACCTGCCTCCATAGAAAGGTAAAAGCAGTTAAAAAAAAAAATCGCAACAGTAGTCAAGACATGTATTTAAAGAGCGGTTTGATTTGATGTTGTTCAGTTTATGGAATACTTGTGAGTTGTAGCCACTTATTTATAAATTACTCTAGATGAAAGGGAAAAAAAACCAGCAGGAGTTGCTACTGGCCTGATGATAGTCTTTAGGTGTCATTTCACCTAAATCTATTCTGTGCTCTTTGGCATCATTTTTGAAGTGGCATTTCTGAACCATTTGATGGTTCTAGGTGGCTGATGATATCATGGAGAACCGGGTTGGGTGAATCACTAGTATTGTTACAGTGGCTGTATTCAGTTTTACTTCTGCCTTGAGGGTTAGTAGAGGTCTCTAGCAGAAGGGGAGACCACAGCAGGAAGTTGCTACTAAAGTCTTGTCCAGTTTTGGATATAATTTAGAGATCAGCATGGTTCTGTATCTTTGAAAACCAGGATGAAGTTGCTTTTTGTCTTTCTGTTTTGGATAGCTTTTCTTCAAGAGCTGGTAGATCGGGATAATTCCAAATTTGAGGAGTGGTGTATTGAAATGGCCGAGATGCGTAAGCAGAGTGTGGATAAAGGAAAAGCAAAACACGAAGAGGTTAAGGAGCTGTACCAAAGGTTACCTGCTGGAGCTGGTCTGTAAGATATTCTGGGACAGCACTGTTGCTATTAACTGCCTTATTTTTTTATGTTCACAACTGTATATGAACAGGCTTTTTTCTGTCCTTTCTCATAACCCACTAAATGCTGCTTATGCGTTCTGAAATTACTATGTAAACCAGCAATAACTTGATTTGTAGCATTCCATATAGTTTTCATTATTATGTACTTTCAAAAATGGGAAGCAGTTAATAAATTACACTGTTTAGGTGAGTACTCTGCATACACGTCTCTTGTAGATATTTCTATTTTTTGAAATACTAACTTGTTTTTAAGGAAAAATAAGATTGGATTACTATGGAAGCAAATCACCTATTCTCTTTCCTTGTGCCCTATCAGACATTCTTTCAACATGAGTACTATTTTTATTATGTTGTTAGATTGATTTGAAATTTAATATCAAATGTTTTGCTAGAGTAGAAAAGCTTTCTGCTGACTCCTAATTTCCTAAGAATTATCCCTCATAATCCAGCTCATCTCTTTACTATATATATTTATTCAGGTTAACTGAGTGCCTCAGAAATGAAACCTCTTTAAGATTGATAATCCATTTGTAAAAATCCCTGTTATCTTTGTCAGGTCATCAGCCTGAATTCCCCAAATCCACCTCCCACTTAAGAGAGGCAGTTTAGTCCTAACTTAAATAAATACTCAAGCATAGTTGTACTGTGGTTTTTTCTTTTTGATGTCTATAATTTTCCATTACTGATGTTAACTGTAAACAGGGGAGTAATATAAATTGTTAAATTTGTAAGAAGAGCTTTTAGAAATTCTCCCTAAACTGCATCATAATTTGATTTTGACCCTTTTTTGTACCCTGTTATTCTAACTCTGTCCCATAGGTTGAAACTATCCTAAAGAATTAGACTGACCTTAATTTGTTGGAAATGAACTCATGATTCATATCTCTTAGTTGTTAGGCCTTTGTTCAAAGGAGTTGGGACCTAGAAATTTGTTTTCTGAACTTCGGTCACAGTTTCTTGTAAACTGGACAAGAGAAAGGAACATACTGGCTCTAAAATGAAATGCTATTCTGAACCACTCTTCAAACTACATCGTCTAAAGATGTTGTATGTCCAGTTAACACTGTGCTTCTCTTGGCTGTTTTCACTCAGTCTATAAGAACCTATGCTTACGTTCTTAAGAATATGTCTGTGTGTTATCTATACTCTTAACCAATTATGAGCTTGACAGTTTTTTTCCATTTGCAGTAAACTTACATAGTGCAAAGTCCATGTTGTCCTAAAATGTTGTAAAATCCCAGAATTAATGACCATGGTTTTGTGCTGCCAGTCGAAATCTTTTGTTTTGCGTTTTCTAAATCTTACCTTGGTGTATGAACATTTTTAAAGAAGGCTCATTTATCCTAAAATCTAAGCCTCACTGGGAAAACGAACCAGTTTGGTCTCTTTTATTTAAATGAAAATATACTTAAATTGTCTCTAGGCAGAGCATTTCAAATGTTTTTGATGCAATGATCTAGACTTGAGAACTTTCCAAAAGAAAATTTCTTGTGTTCAAAATCCAGGCATTTTTTAAAAACTACAAATAACTTTGATCCAGAATGTACATTTCCCTGTGGTAAATATTTAAATAACTTCTATCCGTGTTTATCAAATGCTCGGATATTATACAGTCCAATATCTTCAACTGAATAGAGTTCTCACTCCCATTGGAAGCTGATTGTCCATGTCTTTGGAAGGCAATGTTCAGGTAGTTTACCCAATCACAAATGTTAGGGAACATCTTTGCAAGCTTGTCAGGTGTCTTTCTCTAAAGCAGAAACAGCTATAGTGTAGCTGTAGTGTAAAACCTGCCATAAGGAGAATCTGCCTTAACTACAAGGTGAGTGCTATAACCCTGTTCTCTGGGAAACTCTTAACAGAGATTGATGCACCTCTTTGTAGTGGTAGAGGTTGAAAATGAAAAGAAAGACAAAGTCACTCTTCCTTCCATGAATCCCAAACACCCTAAAATGAAATCTGGAAAACTGGTAATAAGTATGTATTAGGTAAGAATTATGGGCTCAGTCTCTGCTCTCTTCCTTCTTCTTACTGTAAAATCATAACATGATTTTTCTAATCTTCATATCTTACATTGAATTAATATTGGACTATTCAAAACCAGAACAGTAAGCTCCACTTTGAAGTTGTCCATGGGACTCTAGTATGGGATTAAACATTTTTATCTTGAACTAACTGCCTTTGAGTCACTCTGTTGTTGTATGGCTTCGGGTATAGTCACCCTGAATTCCAGCAGACACCCGCTAGGCAGGAGTGCTTTGTACACTTAGTTTTCCTAGATTCCTTTCCTTGTAAGAGTTAGAATTCTTACAGGTTATTCTTTCAGTTAGCAGTAGTAGATGTTGTCTTCTACTTACCCCTCCCCAGCTGCTGGGGAAACCAGAACATCTAATGAATTATTCTTGAATGTTGCTCTGTACTACAGTCCTGTTTTCCCTCCTTTGATAGCCTTCAGATTACTAAAAATTTTAATCTGTGTGACTGTACTTGGGAAAAGATTAGAGATGCTAAGACATTTATTTTGCTCTCTTGGATAACTTTGTTTTCTTAAGACACCCAGCGACTCTATCCTTGGCAGATTAAACTGGATAAATGACAAAAACAATTGGGAGGTATTTTGAATGTAATTTACTACACCGTTATATGTTGTAAAATGCCACAATCGTGTTACCTATACTGCATCTTAAGGTCTCCTCTTTTATATATTGTGTGAATGTATAATTAACTCTTCTATATCTCTTTTCTTCCAAAAAGCTCAAAATGCTTCACATATCTTATCTTTTACACTCAGCAACATCCCTGTGAGGTAGGTAGAAGGCAGGTATTATTACCTTCATTTTACAAATAAAAGACCTGATGCATAGAGAGTTTAAGTGACTTGCTCAAGATCAATTTCTTGGTGGCAGAATGTGGATTAGACCTTGGTCTCAACTTGCAGTCCTATGCCCTTCCTCTGCAGCCATGTTAGAGCTGACTAATCAGAAGGCTCCCTGCTGATGTACAGTTTTAGCACAAATAAAGGGTCCACCAACTCCAAATTTTGTATTTATAAAAATTGAAATGTTTTACACTAAAATGAGAGTTAGTTTTCTAGACCTGTACTTCTTAGGAAAGTGTAAAATTGGTCAGAATGGGCTTTGAGTTGAAGTGTCTATCCCTCAGATCTCATCAGAAGTAGTGTATAATACAAACATATAAATTCAACCTCTGTATGTTTTCTTCTATGTTTTATGCTGGGACTCACTGGAGATCTTTGTAAGTAATCAAAGCTGTCCCTTTATCTTTAATTTTGGCATTTAGGGAACTCTGGGATTCCCTTTCCCCAAATTAAAATTCATTTAAGGTGTTCAGTTTTGTCTTTCTTTTAATGTTTGCAACTTCAAAATTGATAATAATTCAGTTCTAGTGTGACTGATCTTTTTTGAAATAAATAATAATGAGTAAATCATGACATGGATTTGGGTGAGGGAATTAAATACGTTTTCTTACCATCAGTATCATCTTGGATGAAGGGAAGTTTAGTGGTTGAAATGGGCTTATGAAGTGTGATTATAGCTGATGAGGTTAATTTCTAGCTTAAAATGAGAAGCCAGACTGAGTTCTCTTTTTCAGATGTATAACACATACTTATGAAAATAATATTTATGAAATTTATGAAGTAAATATAGTAGTGGATGAGTTGTATGATTTGTGAGCCAATGTGGAGCATGGTTATAGTTAGCAAACATGGGTATCCTGATCAAAGCTCTGCTGTGCTATCAAGCAAGACACTTCTCTCTGTGAATGCTTGTTTTGTAGAATGTGGTTAATAATACCAGCCAATTTCCTAGGGCACTGTGCAGACTTGTCTTTATCATGTATAGTTCCTTGAACTCAGAAAAGTGGTAGTTAAGCGGAGCTTTGTGTTATAGTCATCACACATCTTCCCAGCACAATCATTCTTCTGATTCTGCTAACATTGCTCAGAGTTTACATCGTCTTTTGAGGAAAATGAGCATATTGCTTAGTCAGAAAGCTGTAAAAATACATAGGCTTTTTCCATTGCTTTCTTCCTCAGAGCCCTATGAGTTTGTCTCTCTTGAGTGGCTGCAGAAGTGGTTGGATGAATCGACACCTACCAAGCCTATCGATAATCATGCTTGCCTGTGTTCCCATGACAAGCTTCATCCAGATAAAATATCAATTATGAAGAGAATATCTGAATATGCAGCTGACATTTTCTACAGTAGATATGGAGGAGGTCCAAGACTAACTGGTAACTCGAGGATGTCTTCTTCTCTACCTTAAAAAGAGTAATGCATTAACGTCCTCATCATATGGTCTTCAACGAGTAGGGGTTTATGATGATTTGACCCAAACTGTCCTAGACCAAATGTTCCTTAAGCTTTGCAATTAAATAAATGAGAAGTTAAGCAACATTATACAAAAGATGATTAAACTAGGAAAGAAAATTGATACTGCTCATTGAGGTTTTCTCCTCTCTCAGAAAAGCAGACAGAATAGGACACTTTTGAGAAAGCATCTGGTAGTATTTTGTTACTTGATACAGTTACTCTTCAAAGTAAGAATTTTAAATTTCTCTGACTTAAAGTGAGGATGGAGACTTGACTCCTGGTCTGGTTGATTACAAATCTTGTGTCCCCATGCCATGGTGACTGCTAATGGCATGAGATGTGTAGATTGTTACTTAGCTTATGAATGGAAGCTGCTTGATTATACGTATGCCATGTAGTATACATAGTGTGTTTGATTCTGGCTGCCTGTCCTTTAACATTTTTCATTTTAATGAGCAACCATCAACACAGTCCCACTCCAGTCTTTAGATGAAGTTAAACAAAATTGCATGACCACCACCTCCCCCTGCCTTTTTTCTTAAATTAAATGCTCTTTTCTGATTATATACAACTTAGTGCATAAAAACTGGCATTTACCTACATGATTCAGGCCTCTTCTTGTACACATTTGAAGTTTTGCTTTCTAAATATGTGTTTGATTCAGAATAAAGTAAACTACACTGGGAAGATCTTTCAAAGAATCCCATTTCATATGATTCTTAGAACTCCTGTGTGTTTGAAATCAGTCCCTTGATTTTTCTTTTGCCTGAGTGTTCTGTGCTTTGAAATCCTCTAATATTTAATACCCACAAGAAGCTGCCCAAAAATTAATGTTACTGGTATAGTTGTCAGATACACTGATACCCCACCTCCTTTATCAGAGCCTCAGTTATTTGGTTATTGTCTTGTAAAATTTGTGTCTAAACCTTGTAATAGATTGTACTCCGTGGTGTAGATAGTTTTAGCATAACATTTCATCTGTCTTGTTCTTTTTTTTAATGCAGATAATAATATTGCTCTCTTGATAGCTATATCACCTAAATAATTTAGGATATTTGCCAATTTTCTGTATTCTCAAGATTTATGTCTCTGGTTTAAAGTTCATATGTGTTTTTTGAAGTGCTGCAAACAGTTTTCTAACAGGAAATCCGTGTGTAGATAAAGTATTTTCTTTCATTGTCTCTTGGCCTCTAGTGAAAGCCCTGTGTAAGGAATGTGTGGTAGAACGTTGTCGTGTGTTGCGTCTGAAGAACCAACTAAATGAAGATTACAAAACCGTTAATAATCTGCTAAAAGCAACAGTGAAAGGGTATGTTCCATAGTGTATATTGTTTATGACGAAGTAAAACATTTTCAAGAGATAATAAACAACCTGCTTACTATTTATGGAAAACAGGAAGTTGGGATTTTTATAAGAAAGGTGGATTGCAGAGCCAGATCAAAAGTGAATTTTGCAGTGATTGCCACTGTGACAAAGATAAAGAAAGCTAAGTCAGACAGCCTTTGAGGTTGTATTACATCTGTTAGAGAGGAAGAAGCAGAAATGTGGATCTGAGGCCTGAGCAAACCAAGGCACAGTGCTAGCTTGTGTTCTGGCATGGAATGATAGAGAGCTTACATTAGAGAAACATCATGGCAGGCATGATGTGGCCCTTTATGTGCGGCCAAAGGAATGATACCCTTTGGAACATTCTTGTCAGAAACATTCATGGAGTACCTTTCGACTCAGGGACCAATAGAATCAGGTGGTTAATCGATGCTATTTATTATGTCTGGGTTTAATTTAAGTTCTATATGAAGAGAAAATTTATCCTCCGATTTCCCAAAGATTAATCTACTTCACTATTTTTGGTTATTCCACAAACAGCCTACCAGGTACCCTAAATAAATGTGTGTAGACGTGACTGTACACAGGTATCTATACATACTTAAAGGTACACCTGTATGTAGTTGTGAATGGTTATCAACTGAAAGAAAGTGACTAGTTGATTGTTCTGATTGGTATGAATGTAAATGAGGGATAGGTGAAGCGGGATAAGATTGAAGGTGGAAATGAAATGTCAGATACCTGCAATTCAACTAAACAAAACCTTTGATAAAAGTGAGTGGAAATGGCCAAAAAAAAAGGAAGTGGGTTAAAAAAAATTGTGTGCACAACAGTTGATTTTGAATGTTTATAAATTCATTTTAGTTGTTTTCTTTACAAAGAAAGAAGGGAGGAGGACATAGGAAACGTTACCTGCATAGTTTGACAGTCACTGTGTTCCACAGCAATGACGGATTTTGGGTGGGGAAATCCTCCTTGCGGAGTTGGCGCCAGCTAGCTCTTGAACAATTAGATGAGCAAGATGGTGATGCAGACCAAAGCAATGGAAAAATGAATGGCAACACCTTGAATAAAGGTAATGCTTTAAACCTATATTTAGATAGTTATGAATTGCAAGTAAAAATAAATAAAAAACTTTTTAGTAAAACTAGTTTAATTTCCATGCATATAATTTTAAAGATAATTTTTATTATACCAAAAGCTCTCAGAATGTCTCAGAACAAACAAAAGACTTCTAAACAATTGAAATTCAGCAAGGGCTCAGCAACTCACATGTGGAATTCTTCTGTATAACCTGGCATGCTTTGTGCTCAGGTTCTCTTGAGTTAATAACATGCATAATTAATTTTCATTTCGCTCCAGGCTAGCATATTTAAGAAAGGTAAGTCTATTGCAACTTACATAGTATATTGTAAGCTCACTACGTTTTGGTTTTAGATTATTTATAACTTTTAGAAGCTGCCTTTGTCAAGTAAACGAGTATGTACCTCTATGTTTTTCATCAATAAGGGAAGGCAGCTGTTTATTAGCTTTTTGCTTATAAATTCTTCTTAGTTTTTTGAGTCATCTGAAGCTATGCTTTCAAATAGAAAATTATATTGAGTAAGTGAACCACTAAATTTTATCATCAGTGTTTTATAAGATATCAAAGGAAATTAAGGCCTCAAAATTATTTTTAGATTTAAAGTCAAGACTAGTGGTCTGACTAATTAAGAGGCACAGTTAGTGATCCAAAAGTAATTATTTTACTTAATTTTCTTATTTTCAAATATCAGCAGATTACATACATATGCATATATATTTATTATTTTAAAATTTTTTTTACTGCATGTTCTGTATTTATTTACTTTATTCAAGCATTCTTTGTTTTGGATGTGTATCTTCCGTCATCACTACCTTACTCTTTGAGAAAAATAAAAAACACCACAGCTGCTCTTGATTTTAAGCTGCTCAGGTTGTAATTTTTAACATTTTGGAAGTTGAAGAGTTTCCTTTTGGTTAAAATATTTTGTTGTGCTGTGTAATCCATGAACCTAACATTAGTTTGTGTTTGATTATTTCAATCTGATTATTTAAATGATTTGATCATTTAAAAACCATACTATAATTTTAATGCTGTTATGTGTCCCAGTATGTTAAGTATTTATTTGCTGCTCTGTTGTCTCTTTATACATTATTGGCCCCTCATTTATTTATTTATTTAATTTTTAAATTTTATTATGGTCAAACTTAACACAAAAACATTTGCCATTTTTAAGTGTGCAATTCAGTGACAATTCTATTCACCAAGTTGTGCAGCCATCATCACTATTTGCAAATGATTTTCAGCTCCTTAAACAGAAACTCCATACCCTTTAAGTAATAATTCCCCACTTCCCCTCTCCTCAGCCCCTGGTAACCACTAATAAAACGTTTGAGTGACCCTTTATATTTTAAGTTGGATGCCAGAATAGAAGGTGCCTTGATGTGTTGGCCTATCTAAAAACATTTTTCATATTGTTTTCAGAGTAATACACTTCTCTCCTCCATACAAAAATTTTGAAAACTTCAGGGATGGGAGGGAGGGAAAAAGGGGGAGTTACTGCTTATAGAGCACTGAGTTTCAGTGATGGAAAAACCACATTGATTAAGGGTATGGTTACACAGCTAATTAACATAATTGCTGTCAATGAGTTGTATACCTGCAACAAGTTGAATTGTCAGAAATTGTGTGATAGATTAGATTTACAACAACAACAAAAAGAGCAGCTGCTGAGGCTGCTTATGTACAGTCAAACACCTCACAGGATTTGGTTTCTTGGTTTGGAGGTTTAGGGTCATGGCTTCATGGGACATCCCAGTTAACTGGCCTAATGCCATACTTAGAGCTTCTGTTCTGTCTCTTAATTTGTTGCATAGTGCCTAGGGTCTGAAAAGCTTGCAAATGGCCATCCAGTTGGTTTCCATTCGCCTGGAGCAACAGAAAAACGAGGAGAGGAAGTAATGGAATGTGTGGCTAATGGTCTCCATGAACAACTGCCTACTTTGCCATGAGACCAGGAGAACTGGATGGTGCCTGGCTACCATACAGAACATTTTGATCAAAGATTCTATAGATGAATCCTGATCAAAAGGGAGAAAATGCAGAACAAAATTTCAAATTCTTATGAACTCCAGACTTTCTGGAGCCATGGAGGCTGGGTAAACCCCTGAAACCATTGCCCTAAGATAATCTTTAAAGCTTAAACCAAAAATATCCCCTGAAGTCTTCTTAAAATCAAACCATAGTTCAGTTTAGTAAAGAATGTCTGTCTTGAACATTGTGCTCTTTTAATAATTGTCTGTATGGGATCAAATTGACAACAGTATCTTGAAAGATTAGGTAGAAACCTTAAGGGGAAGGGAGTTTACGTTAATGGGGGAGGAACAATTCAGAAAAGGAGGGTGACGATGATTGCACAACTTGAATGTAATCAGTGTCAGTGAGTTGTGCATGTAGAAATTATTGAATTGGTGTATGTCCTATGTGTATTCTCAACAATAACATAAAATATGTTCTAAAAAAATTTTTTAAGCTTGAAGCAGTACAGAAGAATGCATAGTAGGCCTTGACGGTCCTCCCACCATATTGTAATCACTGTAAATAGGGGCTTTTTATAATGGAGCTCATATAGGCACAGTTGTACATCTTTCCCTGTCAAGACATGCTGTTGTTTTTATTCAATAGCTGCATTTCATTGTGTTGATGTATTATAATTTATTTAATCGATTCCATCTCAGTTTTTTTATAGTCACTATATAGGCACAGAATCTTTGCATACTTTTATATTATTTCTGAAAGATAAATTCCTAGAAATTTGTGAGCAGAGAATTATGCCCATGTGAAATTGCTATCTACTGACACATACTGGTACATATTAGTAAATTTCCCGCAGAAAGTGGGTTAGGATGATTGTTTCTGCATGCTTTGTCAAAGTAAAGAGTACAACAGTTATTAGTTTTTACCAGTCTGATAAATGAAAAATGACTTAGCAGTGTTGAGGTTTACGATTTTCAAAATTATAATTGGAGTTGATCATCTTCACATATTTAAGAAGCTGTTTGTATGTATGTGTGGAAGCAGAGTTATCTAGTCATGTCCATCTTTTGCCTATTTTTCTGCTTGAGTTTTTTTTAATGATAAGTGTATATTCTTTGTATGTATTAAGTGTATTAAAAATGTGCTATGATATGTACTTAACCTGGAAAACCCATGGATGACTATTCTAATCTCCTGATACTTAAAAACTTCTTTACTTTATTATTTTCTTGGTATATACACCTACACATGGGCAATGACACAGTGTAGACAAGTAGGAAAAGCAGTTAGTGGAAGAGAAATGTTAATAGGAAAAGCATAGTTCTTATTATGTTTTGTTTGACGTTAAAGGTTAAGTCCGTATTTCATTAGCCTCTAAAACTTTCTGTTCAACCCCTAAAAGAGTGGGTAGGAGGAAATGACATGGCACGACATGTAGATGATTAACTTGGTTATGACACAGTATTCTGAATACCTTGACTAGAACTAACAGATACATAAATTATTTTTCAGATTGAAAAAAGGGCATATTTTCTTGCATAACCTAATTCTTTAAAAAGTAAAACTGTCAGTGAGATTTTTTTTTTCTCCTTTTAAGGGAATGAAATGTAATGCTTCCACAGAACTTTGCAGGAATCACTTGGGTCAAATTTCCAGAATGTTGTTAAAGTTTTCTTTATTCAGAATTGTGCACAGTAGTTATTTTTGTTACTCTGAATTTTAAATACAATAGCCAGTGCAGTGTTACCTGTATTTCTTTTGATCAGATGAATCAAAGGAAGAAAGGAAAGAAGAGGAGGAGGAATTAAATTTTAATGAAGATATTCTGTGTCCACATGGTAAGCTAGAGGTTGTAAATCTTCTGTTGTATGTCCAACTTTTGCATATCATAGATATTTTGTTGAACATTTCCCACTTTCTTTTGGGGAGTAGGCTGAATAGGACAGCTATGATGGAGTAACTGGTTTTCTAAAACTGTACTATGTGCTTGTAATGTTTCTATTTTCTTACCCATTTCAGTGGTTAGCTTCTCCTGCCTGCTTTCATGCTAATGTCTCACACTTTCTCTTCTTATCTTGCAACATCAACAACAAAATTTTTAATACAAAATAGAATTTTCCCATTTCCTGAGGAAATCATTGAAGAAGGAACTTTCTGTCACCTTGTAACATTGGGGGCCTTTCTCAGTTTGAGGGAAAAAATTTCAGTTATTCCCCATGACTTTGTCTTTTTCCAATATGAACATTTTGAGGACAGACTTTGGGTATTTCTTACTATTATTCACGCTATTTATGATTTAATTTCTTTTTGAATGTAACATGTTGAATACTTACTATATACTAGGTACCCCGAACAATAAATTCCAAATTCTTATTGAATCTTAGTTAATTAATTTACGTATTTCTTACTTGGTTTTGGTTAGTCCTCACCATTAATAAGAAATTTTGTATGATAATCAGGTAAAACAGTCATTATATATATGAATCATGGTTTTCGAAGCACTCTGAAAGTCTCGCCAGTGTCTGCTTCTCATAGCTTTCTACTGTGTAATTCTCCCCTTTCCCCCATTTTTAGTTTATCCTGAGAAAAATTGGATCCAGAGAAGTTGGAATGCCAGTTAATAGTAATATTACTATTAACCCACATGTCTATACTTTTATATTCTCTAATATGTTGCTAATATTAGAATTCCTGTGGGTCCTAATAAATTCCTAGTTTTAGTTCTTATCTTGTTAGTTCATTATAAACCAGTGGATGACGTCTTACACTTATCCTTGTGAACACTAGCCCTTTTTTTTTAATTGTGTTTTAGGTGAAAGTTTACAGCTCAAGTTAATTTCTCATTCAGAAATTTGTACACATACTGTTTTGTGACATTGGTTGCAATCCATGCAATGTGACAGCATGCTCCCACTTTCCACCCCTGGTTATCTGTGTCCATTTGTCCAGTTCCTGTCCCTTCCTGCCTTCTCGTCTTGCTTTTGGACAGAACTTGCCCGTTTGGTCTTGTATGCTTGATTGAACTAAGAAGCACGTTCCTCACGTGTGTTATTGTTTATTTTATAGGCTTGTCTAATCTTTGTCTGAAAAATGGGCTTCAGGAGTGGTTTCAGTTGAGTTAGCAGAGTGTTCAGGGGCCATAGTCTTGGGGTTCCTCCAGTCTCTGTCAGACGTAAGTCTGGTCTTTTTTCATGAATTTGAATTCTGTTCTATATTTTTCTCCCGTTGGCTGGGACTCTGTTGTGATCCGTGTAGGTGGTTGGTGGTGGTAGCCAGGCACCATCTAGTTCTGGGCTTAGGCTGCTAGAGGCTTTGGTTCATATGATCCTTTATTCCTTTCTGCTAATATTTTTCCTCTGTCTTTGGTTTTCTTAATTCTCCTTTGCTCTGGATGGAATGGGACCAATAGATGTATGTTAGATGGCTGCTTGCAAGCTTTTAAGACCCCAGACACTACTCAGTAAAGTGGAACGTAGAACATTTTCTCTATGAACTATTTTATATCAGTTGACTTAGATGTCCCCCGAGACTATGGTCCCTAGCCCCCAGCCCCATCAGCTCAGTCCCTGAAGGTGTCTAGGAAACTTCTATGCCTTTGCTTTGGTCAAGTTGTGCTGACTTCCCTTGTATTGTGTGTTGTCCGTCCCATCACCAAAGTTGACACTTGTCTACTATCTAGTTAGTGACTTCCCCTCCCTCTCGACCCTCATAACCATCAAATTCTGTTTTTTTCTGTGTGTAGACCTTTTCTTGAGTCTTATAACAGTGGTCTCATACAGTATTTGTCCTTTTGTAACTTATTTCACTCAGCATAATACCCTCCAGATTCATCCATGTTGTGAGATGTTTCGCGAATTCATCATTGTTCTTTATCATTATGTAGTATTCCTTTGTGTATTCCATAATTTGTTTATCCATTCATGTGTTGATGGGCATTTAGGTTGTTTCTGTTTTTTTGCTATTGTGAATAGTGCTGCAGTGAACGTGGGCATGCATATATCTGTTCGTGTGACGGCTCTTATTTCTCTAGGGTTTATTCCTAGGAGTGGGATTGCTGGATTGTATGATATTTCTATTTCTAGCTTTTTAAGGAAGTGCCATATCATTTTCCAAAGTGGTTGTACCATTTTACATTCCCACCAGCAGTACGTAAGAGTTCCAATCTTCCCACAGCCCCTCCAACATTTATTATTTTGTGTTTTGTGGATTAGTGCCAATATTGTCAGGGTGAGATGGTATCTCATTGTAGTTTTGATTTGCATTTCTCTAATGGCTACTGATCTCAAACATTTCCTCATGTGTCTGTTAGCCACCTGAAAGTCTTCTTTGATGAAGTGTCTGTTCGTATTCTTTGCTCATTTTTGAGGTATTGAAGTAATTTACAGATTTTAGAGATTAGACCCTTTATCAAATATGTCGTAGCCAAAAATTTTTCCCAGTCTGTAAGTTCTCTTTTTTCTCTCTTGACAAAGTCTTTTGATGTGCATGTTTAATTTTTAAGAGCTTCTGGTTATCTAGTTTCTCTTCTGGTATTTGTGCATTGTTAGTTATGGTTTGTATACTATTTATGCCATAGTCCCCTAGCATTGTCCCTAGTTTTTCTTCCATGATCTTTATCGGTTTAGATTTTATATTTAGGTCTTTGATCCATTTTGAGTTAGTTTTTGTGTATGGTGTGAGGTATGGATCTTGTTTCATTTGTTTACAGATGGACATCCAGTACCATTTGTTAAAGAGACTGTTGTTTCCTCATTTAATGGACTTTGGCCATTTGTCAAATATCAACTGCTCATGAATGGATTTATGTCAGGGTTCTCAATTTTGTTCCATTGGTCTGTGTGTCTGTTGTTGTAGCAGTACTAGGCTGTTTGGACTACCATGGGTGTAAAAAAGGTTCTAAAATCAGGTAGTGTGAGGCCTCTCGCTTTGTTGTTCTTTTTCAGTAATGCTTTACTTATCTGAGGCCTCTTCCCTTTTCATATAAAGTTGGTGATTTATTTCTCCATCTTGTTAAAGAATGCTGTTGGAATTTGGATTGGGATTGCACTGTATCTGTAGATCGCTTTGGGTAGTATTGACATGTTCACAATGTTGAGTCTTCCTATCCATGAGCAAGGTATGTTTTTCCACTAGTGTAGGTCTGTTTTGGTTTCTTGCAGTAGTGTTTTATAGTTTTCTTTGTATAGGTCTCTTGCATCCCTGGTTAGATTTATTCCTAAGTACTTTACCTTCTATAAAGTTCTTAGGAATAAATCTTTATCTTCTCTACCACGCATCTGTCAGTTTGTCGTACTGTGGTGTCTTATGTGTTGCAGTGATACTGGAATCTTAGCCCCCGGTATTTCAAATACCTGCAACGTCACCCTTGGTGGACAGGCTTCAGTGGAGCCTCCAAACTAAGACAGACTAGGCAGAAGGACCTGGCAGTCTACTTCTGAACAAATTGGCCAGTGAAAACCTTATGAATAGTAGTGGAACATTGTCTGATATAGTTTTGGAAAATAGCTCCTCAGGTTATTTTTGCACACAAAATATGACTGCGGAGGAGCTGCCTTCTCAAAGTAGAATCAACTGTAATGACAGGGATGGAGTAAAGCTTTCGGGACCTTATCATTTGCTAATGTGGTATGACTCAAAATAATGAAGAAACAGCTGCAAACATCCCTTAATAATTGGAACATGGAATGTATGAAGTATGAATCTAGGAAAATTGGAAGTCATCAAAAATGAAATGGACTGCATAAACATCGTTATCCTAGGCATTAGTGAGCTGAAATGGGCAGGTATTGGCCATTTCAAATCAGACAATCATATGGTCTACTATGCCGGGAAAGACTAATTGAAGAGGAATGGCGTTGCATTCATTGTCAAAAGGAACATTTCAGGATTTATCCAGAAGAATAATGCTGTCAGTGATAGGATAATATTCATATGCCTACAGGGAAGACCAGTTAATATGATTAATATTCAAATTTACACACCAGCCAATAAGGCCAAAGATGAAGAAATTGAAGATTTTTACCAACTTCTGTTGTCTGAAATTGATCAAACATGCAGTCAAGATGCATTGATAATTACTGGTGATTGGAATGTGAAAGCTGGAAACAAAGAGGAAGGATCAGTACTTGGAAAATATGGCCTTGGTGATAGAAATGATGCAGGGTAGAATTTTCTAAGACCAGCGACTTCTTCATTGCAAATACCTTTTTTCAACAACATAGACGGTGGCTATACATGTCGACCTGGCCAGATGGAATACACAGGAATCAAATCAACTACATCTGTGGAAATAGATGATGGAGAAGTTCAGTATCATCAGTCAGAACAAAGCCAGGGACCTACTGGAAGTAGACCATCAATTGCTCATATGCAAATTCCAGTTGAAGCTGAAGAAAATTAGAGCAAGTCCACGAGAGCCAAAATACGACGTTGAGTATATCCCACCTAATTTAGGGTCCATTTCAGGAATAGATTTGTTGCATTGATGCCATTGTCTAAAGACCACACAAGTTGTGGAATGACATCAAGGACATCATACATGAAGAAAGCAAGAGGTCATTAAAGAGACAGGAAAGAAAGAAAAGACCAAAATGGATGTCAGAAGAGACTCTGAAAGTTTCTCTTGAACGTTGAGTAGCTAAATTGAATGCAAGAAATGATGAAGTAAAAGAGCTGAACAGAAGATTTCAAAGGGTGGTTCAAGAAGACAGAGTAATGTATTTTAATGAAACGTGCAAAGACAGGGAGTTAGAAAACCAAAATCGTATAACACGCTCGGCATTTCTCAGGCTGAAAGAACTGAAGAAAAAATTCAAGCCTCAAGTTGCAATATTGAAGG